ATATAAACATTTAACAAAAATTAACGTAAGGAGAGATATGTTTTTTATATTTTTTTTTTTTCTTCAATGTTCTTTCCTAAGTTTCAAGATTTGCAATGTCTTATTATTTTTGTTTAGAATTTAATCTTTACATTTTTAATTTTGCAATTCGAAAACAATGCACGGCATGTATGCACTCGAAGAATTGAATTATTTTTCAAATCCCCCGTTGGTGGTTGTATACTACGTGTGTGTGAGTATGCAAATTAATAATTTAATTTAATATCTACGGCGGGAGAAAAAAAATTATATATATATATATATATATAATATCGTGTACGGAAAATTAAATTATTTAAAATAATTATTCGTCGAATGTAGTCGAACGAGAACCGGTGGTGTGTGCGAGGATGGAAAATATAAAATGAAGGAATACGAGCAGGGAATTAATTAATTAATTCCATTTTCTTTTTTCTTTTACATTTTTATTGTTTCTCTTTTTTTTTTCGGTTTTTCTTTTTTTTTTTTTTTTTAATCGCGTTAATAATGCATTTACGCATAAAACGTGCTGGTACAGTCGTGACAATAATTTGGTGCATATTATATGCAATATATTATACTTACGCCCATATATAATACATAAATAAGTTTTTTTTCTCTCTCTCTTCACTTGTGAGAATTAAAGAAAGACGAAAATAAAAAATGATAAGCGAACTAAAGTTAGCACGTGTTAGATTGCCTGATATTTCTAACGTTATAAAAAATGTTATTCATAAAAAATTAAAAAAAAAAAAAAGCAATAAGCAAAAAAGTGAAGAGAAAAATAATAATAATAATAAAATAAATTAAATAACAGCCATTGAAAAAAAAAAGGCCGAGGATGATAATAATAATAATAATAATATTTTCAATATTTATCAATTTACTTTTTTTCCAATTGCATGCGAAGAAAATTAACAAAAAGAAAAGAAAAAAAAAAAAAAAGAAAAAAAAACACTCAGAAAAAGAAAGATTTGTACGTCCTCGCCAATACTTATAATAAATAATTGAAGGAAAAGAAAATTAGGCGGGTGTTGTGGGGTGGGGGGGTAAAGATGGATTGGAAGAGTGGCTGAACAAATTATATTTTTAGCTTTCCCTTTTTATTCCTTCCGTTATATCAAAGGCAAACGACGAGTAGTAGAGTTAGCAAAAAGAAGAAGAAGAAGAAGGAAAAATAAACAAAAAATGCGAAAAATCCGTTTTTATCAATTTTCAATAGCAGCGCACAGTTGCTTGTTTGTAGTAGCGAGACACGATATTCATATACATATAGATATTATTTTACAATTTTTTTTTAATTTTTATACTTTCCTCTCATCTGCATATACATATACATATACATACATAAACAGATTGTTACCAATAGGGCTCGAGGCTCTTCTCTCGTATGCTGAGGCAGGCACCCCCCCCCCCCATATGTGCATTTTTGTTTTTTTTTCTCTCGAGAACCAAAGAAGAATCTCCAAGCTGCTTTTTATAAAATCGAATCTCGAACGTTTTGAGATCACATTCGTGTCGTGAAAATAATTAATTAATATTATTGACAACGTTCATTTTAAAAATATAAGATACGAAATAATATCTGTTGGGGGCAGGAGGGTAAGGGTTTTGAGAACAAAAATCATCACCGCCGTTTTTGTCTGCCTGCGTGTGTGTGTGTGTATATACGTGTGTGCGTTTTACCGAAAGTTTTGTTATTAACGCATACGAAAAAACGAACGAGAGAGAACCGATTTAGGTATACTTTTGCATATTTTTCTTTCTTTTTTTCTATAGATGTTTTTTTATTTTTATTATTTTATTTTTTTTTATTTTATTACACGTACACTCATGCGTGCGATTTTCTTTTCGTATTTTTTTTTGCAGGGGGGAGATATTACTGTCAGTCATTATTAGTTTTGCTTAAATAGTTTTTGGAAATACGTGTTTAGTGCGCATGATTTATGTGTTATTATTATATTACGATTATTATTATTATTATTATTATTATTATTATTATTATTATTATTATGCATAAGTAAAATTATTATGTTCATCATCATTCTAAATCGACACTTGAAATAATAATTATAAGTCATATTATTATTA